CATAGATAGAGAAAAGACAATTTTGATACGTGTAGATATCCATTCTAAAAGAATTTGGAACTTTGCGAACAGCTGCAATCTATAAACCTATTCCCAGTTTCCCTTACTGCAAAAAATGTCTTGCACAAAATTTAATTGAATCTTGATAAAATATTACAAGAAATAACTTTATGGATTTTATAAAGCGCAACATACTGTAAATGGGGAATTAATTTTGCAAAATAAGGGCCACAGACTGAAAACATTATGTTATCATATATGGTATTACGGTTTAAAGAATTTTAGTGAAGGGAATAATTTTGTATATGTTTCTGCTCGAAAATTTTGCAAAAATTACCTTTAAAATACACCCGAGTAACATTTTTATCATAATCTAAAAATTCCTATATAAAGAAATAAAATGATTTAAAAAAAATTCAAATGTTGATTTTTTTTCTTACAGAATTAAGGTAACTATCTCCCATGCAATGTAGAAAGATACTTGTGCCCTCGGAAAAATTCCGTGAAGATAATTCTAGTCCGTTGCTGTCACGAAATATCATAGGTCCAACATTTTCTGGTGGTCCTGGCCAAAAATATTTAAAACTAATATTCTGCTCCTTTTGTAATAAAGCAAAAATACAATAAACTGACTAACAAGGAATTTCTGGGAACATCTGCATGTATCTGCATGTTCTAACTCAACAAAGAACTATTTTGTAGCTATGTGAAGACAGTTTCTTATACGTCAGGAAACCATTTTACAGTATAATACAATTGTATCTAATTACATATACATGTATTTTAATAGGCAGCACATTGATATACATGTACGGGAATGAATTTCATAAATTCGAATTCTTTAAGTTTTTCTTTTTCTCCAAAGACCTCTTAAAGATATGACCAAAAATTCTCAAATTGTTCCATATGTAACAGAAATTTTCTAATAACCAAACTTCAGTCTATGGCTTTGCAGAACTTTTACTCGATTTAGTAATTGCATATGAATAAATTAAATGAATTGTATTATATTTGATTCTCTATTTCTAGACACAATTAGTAGAAATGTTACAGTACATACTTGTTACCACAATCGTTAACTCTTCACTTCTAGCATTAGCAACCACATTGAGATCTTTTTTAATGGCTGTCATGACGCAGAAGTAGACTCCAGAATCCCTCCCACACTCGATCCCATTTCTGTCTATCACCAGAGAAAGTCCGGGGATACCCAGCACTTTCACCAGCCCTCTAACTTTAACTCCGGGTCTTCGTCTGAACCCCTCATCCTGCCATTTTATAATGTCGTAGTCAATTGAAACCAGTGATTTTTCGTTCTGTCCATTTAGGTCTTTCTTGTTCAACTGGATGTTAAAATTCCTGTTGATTTCGGATAGTCTTCCTATTGGTACTCGGCATATGAGTATCAATTCATCTTTCCCAGCTCTCACTTCCTTTTCCGCGTCAATTTCAATCCAGCTCTGGGGATCTGAAAGTAAAAAAGTAGTTTTCTTTTCAAATTACGTTTAGGAGACAGAATTTTCCAGCTTCATTCCAAAATCCATTACCTGAGCTGGCTATTTTCAGAAATATTGCAAAATAAAGAAGTCCATCAAAACCAAACCTGAAAAATAAAACAAAATGGACAACTGTAAATTTTAAATAATAACATATGATAATTTTATATAACTCAAAATATTTTATTAAAAAGGGGGGGGGGGATAGATGTATAAAATCGTACATCACATGGAGTTTAGAGTCCAGAGCAGTGTACAATGATCTTTGAAGTAAAAAAGATGGTTTGCAAAGTGTTGTTTCGTACGAGAATCATTGTTGTTCCTATGATCAATAAAAGTTCAATATTATACCATGTCAATTGTACTTTTAAAGACCTTTACATGGATTTTGTTTACTTATACCCAAGAAATCCCTGATTCTAGCATTGTCTTATCTCCCCAAACTTTATAAGATTCCCAGTGGTGTTAAATCTGATTAAGCGTGTTTGTTTGACGATTTATCTAACAGTGGCGATACAAATTAATTCTGCACAGGAGACTCAGAAACCATTTGAAAACATTTAATAGGCACCAATGAACTCATGGGTGACGTCATGGGTATCGATTCAAAGAAAAAATAATTCCGGTCAGAAGATGGGTTATTTCAAAGTGTTTTTTTCCTTCTAAACATATTAAAAAATCCTATCTATGCCCAGAGAGACCAAAAGCAATATGTCTCCAACCACACCCTTTGAGTTTTGATCTTTTGGACGTAATTCCAAATTATGTTAATCATTGCTGGTACAGTAAAAAGGTTGATTTTAGTGTTTGGCAGCTTCTCTACCCACCCCCCTCCCCCAAGAAAATGTAACTCAAACATTCCGTGCAACTTTGCTCAGCATGTACAATATTGTGTATTTCACTATTTCACTATTTAAAAAAATTAAATACCTTGATAGGCATCCGATCCGGGAAAAAATTCAAGGTGAAATTACTTTGTCAAAGGATGGAAAAAACCAACCCACCGGGTTCTATGTTGAGGAAAACGATTGTTCTCCAGCATAACCATAATGTAATGGGAGACAAATGTGACCTTTCTCCTCATGACCTTAGATGAGGATCATGGCACACATTGACATTCTCTGAAAATGGCCTACCAATGATAAAAAGATGAACTTGATCAAGCCAGTATATGCGTTGTGACGTTATTTGAGTGGTAATTTAAGCTCTCAGATCTCATAAAAGTGAGTTTAGCGATGGCTAAGTATGGAAGCAAAACAATGGTGGGGACAAGAGCGGTTATACAAATTCATTCAGGTATGGATGCGATTAGAAACAGGTTTTACACAACACAAAAGAGTGATCGAAAGCAAGTTTCAAACGGTGTCACGTGAAGATATTCGATGTCATGTACGGAATAACAGATTAATGCATCTATTTCGAATATAATCTGATTTTTTTTCTTTCTTTTTTTTTCTTTCTTTTTGGGAAAGTATTTTTTCAACAAACCTAATTCCATATGCAACATATGCGTATTCCATGTGCGACAGTCAATCAACTGCTTACTGCTAACTGCTGATTGTCACTGCCAACTGCTCACAATCGAGGAGTAAGTAGTTGATCCTTTCGTCGCGTATTCGAATCCCACTGCGGGACGTGGAGACCGGTCCTTCGGATGAGACCGTATAAAACCGAGGTCCCGTGTCGCAGTAGGTGCTGGTACGAAAAAGATCCCTCACTGCTCAATGGCCCTAAGTGCCAAGTATAGGTCGAAATTTGTAGCCCTCCACCGCGGCAAGTGGTGGCGTCTCCATATGAGTGAAAAATTCTCTTTGGAATTACCAGCTTTAAAGTTGGAAAAGCCAACATTAAAGTTGGAGTTAACAAATTTTTAAGTTGGAATTTCCAACTTTTAAGTTGGAATTTCGAACTTCAAAGTTGGAAAAGCCAACTCTAAAGTTGGAATTACCAACTTTAAAGTTGGAATTACCAACTTTAAAGTCGGAAAAGCCAACTTTAAAGTTGGAATTACCAACTTTAAAGTTGAAAAGGCCAAGATTAAAGTTGGAATTACTAGCTATAAGTTGGAAAAGCCAACTTTAAAGTTGGAATTACCAACTTAAAAAAATATTACATGGCACTAATACACCTCCGTAGTTTCTAATGTACATACATTTCAAGATTTTTTTTCACTTGCAAAATTAAGCCTGCATCATTACCAACTTCTTATTTTTAAAATACATGTATAAAATCGAACCACTGTAAGCTTATAAATCCGTAGGAAAATTTGCGGGGACATTTTTTGCCATAAAGAAGTAAATTGCTTCCACATTTTGAGGAACATTTAAAGGCAATAATCTGAAATACAATAGTCGGACGTATATGGGAAAATGCAAACACTGCAGGGTGTCGTGTTGTTTTCGTTTTCAAAATATATTCTTCAGAAAATAATCAAAATACGGCAGTAGTTTTTTCACTCGCAATCAAGTTTTACATTACCCCCCCCCCCCCTTTACATGATATCATTCATTAATTGTGTAAGTTTCCTCATTTCGAAAGCGTACATGCAATCAATTACAATCGAACAACTTTTTTAGAGTTGGAAGTGATGTTTGTTTGTTTCACAATTATTATGTAAAATATATTTAGCACCTTATACGTTTTAGGTGCAAAAAAAAAAAGGCGCATTGAAACAATGTAGAAGCAATAAAAAATCCTCAAGTCTTGCTATTGAGATTATTCCACATAGTTTGACAATGTATTCCTCTTTTATCTAGACCTTTCTTTTGGAAAATTTACTTTTGAACTCTTTTTAACGGGGGGTGAGTGCCACCCCAAATAATTTTGCCGATATATATAGTATACTATAGAAAACGAAGCTACTACCGGTATATTGATGTGTCCCCAACTGAAATTAATACATGCATAATCAATAAAAATCAAGGAGTCATTTTGATCCGTTCAAAAGATCAGAAGTTAAGAAATGGATAGCACTTTTATCTCGGATTTGGTATCAAGTAGAGTCAGAGCCGAGGTCAATTATGCTGTTTAAATTTATAGTTGTTTTAAACTATAATTTGGGGGGTTGGTGGGGATGTTAATGTAATGATGTCATGTTGCAAGAGGATGCTCTGCTTTGTCTTGCCCTATTTTGGTTTATCTGATTTTCGATGTGGTCAGAATTGTTTATATACTAGAAATCAATAGTATGTCCGTGTCAAATTCCTCAGATGATAACAGATTCGGTGAAAGAAGACTCGGTTCTCTTGTACTGAGAAAGATTAACGATAGTCACCTTTATTCTTAGTAATTCAAAAACTCTTAGTATCGATATTGTACTCCTCTAATCAACTGGTTAAAATCAATCTTGTACGAAGTAATTTAACATATTCATTAAAAATAAAATATGATAAATAGAGTTTAATTAATTATAGGGTGCATTTGCTTATTATTCTATTTTGTTTAACTTTAATGTGATTAGAAAAGTACATGTATTAAAAAGTAATTTTATCTATTGGCATCCACACTACAATTTTAGGTCTATATCGTCGTGTTCGTTAGCTATGATCGTCTGATGTCCTTAAGAATTGGCGAAGACAGTGCACGAGGTTCTAAGCAACCCAAAAATGTTTCAAGCATTACCTAACCACCATAAACAAAATTACAAAACCAGAAAAAGGGCCATGCCTTTGGACACGTGAATGGAATGGGTTCCAACGGGAGGAGCTGTGGAAAAAAAAGGAGAAAGGGGGAGAATTCCAAGGACCCTCAGTTATTACTGAACAAAGATAAGATTGGAATGTTTTATAAAATTTTCACCAACCCTTGCAATGCTAAGGTAATAGACATATTTTGATCCTTTCCCCACTCTGGACCCCGGACAAGTTCTATAAATACTAAAAGTTAGACATATATCGATACACATGTTTTTCAAGATGATGCTCTTGGTGATTGTCGCCTCTTTTGTAGCTGTGTCACAGGCTCAAGAATTTGGCGCCTTTGGATGTCCAACCATTTCCACAAAAGACAATTTCAACCTCACTAGAGTAAGGCAATAATACATTTTATTATCTTTTTGAATAAGGTAAATGCTAAAATAAATAAATATAGGCTGATTCATTATGGTATTTCAATAATGAAGGAGCACTGGTGAAATTTAAAGCAATTGATCAATGTTCAAAAAATTGTAATAAAAAGACAAATTCTTTTGTATTTTCATGTAGCATCTTTTGTGTTTTTAGTATCTTGGAACATGGTATGAAATTTACAAATTCAAAGCCAACTTCGAGAACAACGAGAAATGTATTCAGGCAAACTATCAGTTGAAATCTAATGGTCACATTCGTGTGAACAACACTGGAGTTTCCATAAGGTATGACTTGTTCGAAATACACCCATTCTTAATTTTGGTAAATTAAATATCATATCATACTCAGTATTCTCTATATCTTGCGTATAGCATTTAAAAGAATGCATTTTCTCATGATCTGTTGAGAATGGTTGAGGTATCTTGGAATACTTTAAACTGCACGTACTAGTATCTCAAGCCAAAAAGAATGTGAGAAAGGTAGATATACATGTACACTTCATTGCTATGAAATGATTATAAAATTACTTCCTTGTAGTGATGGTAGTCCAAGCACAGCAATTGGTGACATCTACATTCCTGATCCAAGTGTTGGATCCAGACTTAAAGTTAAATTTGCTTCTGGTAAGTCATCACATACAATCAGTGCTTTCAAATGCTTTTAATAAAATTCTATATACTAGTAGAAATAGGGGATGTATTTTCATCTTATCTTTAAAGTAAACGTATAAGTAATCACGTGTCTTAAAATTTCCTTTGTAGCTGCTCCCTATGGAAATTATTGGGTTTTAGACACAGATTATGAAAACTACACACTAATCTACTCCTGTACCAGCATTCTCGGAATCAGCCATTTTGAATTCGGTTGGATTTTGGCGCGATCAAGGACACTTCCAGATTCAACTATACAAAAACTTTTTGGAATAATGGACGGATACAAAATTAATACACATCATTTTATGAAGACTGATCAAAGTGGTTGCTAACCATTGTTTGTATTATTGATTTCATTTGAATGTACATATAAGACATGTTCTTTTGCTAATAAAGCCACATTGTTTCTTTTCCATTAAATATATGTCAAAAAAAAAAGATTTCATTTCTCAGAATGAATATTTTTGATGAAATAACATTCATGCTGTCACTTTCACAGTGTCCAACACATTAAATTGGGAATATTGTTGTTATGGTCCAACACATATAATCTGTTGTAGTTTTGTAACTATATAGTTGGATTATTTGAATTTGTCTCAATTTTTTATTCGTGTAGTTGCTCACTATAAAATTATACGTACCAGTATATATGTAAAGAATTAGGAATAAGATGATTTTTTGCAGTTGAAGCAGTCAGATCTTATCAAATGTAGCTGTAGTATGGAAGATTGCTTTCTCTTAAAATGTACTATCTTGAAATGTTTTGTTTTTGTTAAGAATCGTTTTAGTTGTTCTTTGTGTTATTTGATACTTCTATGAAACTAAAAATAAATTATAAAATACTTTTTCTAGTACATGCTTTTTTTTTTTTGGATTGTTTAACAACACTGATCTATGGGTTGATTTCATCAACATGTGCATGGCCGTAGGAACCTGAGGGTGGGGGAGGGCACGGGGGCGTGCCCCCAATACTTTTTGCCGATATATAGAATACTGTAGAAAACAAAGCTCTAGATGCTTGTGCCCCCTCAATAATAATGTCTGAAGACCTTTTTTTTAGGCTTGTCAAGGAATTTTGGTAGTTGATAGTGCCCCCCAACTGAAAATGTATGGTTGTGCCCCCTCATAGTGAAATCGCTTCCTACTGGCCTGCGTGATTACTGTGTACATCTGTCTATCCATTTTGTCAAACAAATTTGTTAAAGTTGCTTTTAGCTCTGTTCTGGACTACCTACACTATATATCCACACACGGAAATCACACAGGATGAGATGAAATTACATAAATGAAAGCTCTGATTTGGGTGCATTTTGCTGATGTCATATCTAACTTCAATCTTATGAAAATTTCGTACGATAAAATATACTTAAAATAGCAGCCTCTCCGATACCTTGGCCTTTGGTTTTGAAATCCTTCGTTGTAGGTGATTTGGCGCGAACCTTTAACAAACATTGAAAGATGATTTACAAGAAAGTTAATAGAAAAAAAACAGGGTGGGTTCGATATCGGTAATGGGGGGAGGGGAGGATCCTGTCCTCAAGACCTATAAAGTTCGGCGAAGAGTATACAAGAAACAGAAATGATGAATAAGGGAAAACGTAGTTTAACAATAGAAACTTCTATTTCTGTATTTTGCAAGTCATACAGTAATAATGTATGAATAAAAATAGTGACTAACGATCTAAATGTATCATTGAAAGTAGTTTGTTTGTTAATCATAGGTACTGCGAAACCCTATGAACTATAGTTACAAAAGAGTACGACTGGTCCATGAGATTAGAATATATGTTAAGCATTAATTAGTCATGTACTCATTGGCAATTGAAAATTGTTAATTAGTGAAAGACACTAGTAAAAGCTAGGCCATCAATCGTAATGATTCCTTCCTATGCGGAAATAGTTAAATTTGTTTATCATATCTAACAATTATTTATGCACGCAATAGTGCATGAGATCATTCGTTTTTTTTTTTTTTGTTTGTTTGTTTTTGTTTTTTTTTTGCAATTCGTAAAGTCCATTTGGATTTTCAAACTCATTCACCAAGAGCCGTTTTACTGAATACAAATACACCATGCAGTGTTGTTTAAACTGAACGTGTTCATCCAGATGTGGGAAGATTGACTCAAATTAATTTAAAGTTTCTTTTAGCAAAAGCAAATATCAATAAAATTTGCCCGATTTCCTGCTTCTTAACATGAGTTTGTGCAGTCTTGAAAGTCGTGGTGACATTTGTCGTAGCAGTGCTTTTGGTTGATAATTTCAACGGCACCATGACACCCACTGCTACACAATCCATAGCAGTTTGTCCTGCAGGCGATAGAGATGTCTTCACATTCGCACATACACGATTTTCCTTCATTCCAAACACTACAGCCATCTACAAGACCGGTCAGTAGAACTGCAATTCCGAATGCAATAAGACATAACCTGTAAAATAATAAATACAACAGTTTAGTTTTAGTTTCAGTTTTAGTTTCCAAACCCACCCGACTTTCATTAACAACAAAAATCGCTGTATGTGACAATGCATGTCTTCCCTTTAATACCCCCTCCTTCACCATAAGTTTACATTTAGATTTCGTTCTTACAGAATTCTCTCCAAGAATCATAAAGCTATCTCTCAATTGACCTCTTTAAAAACTCATCAAATCATTTATCAATTAATAATACATTGAAACAGGTTGAAACAAGTGGTTCTAACCTGAGCCTCCTCGTTTCCTTCGACATGGCACCTTTATCGGGAAGATAAGATAAAATAAATGGAGCACCACAAAATCGAAAAATCATGTGCCCTTCACTGCTTAATACCGCTGAGGGTACAGTCACAAACTTCAGTTGAACACACACACGTGCACAAACGCTCACATACCTCTATATAGTTGTCATGTTACTTAAATACCGCTGAGGCAAAAATAAAAGCAAGTCATAGACGTCAGTTGAAAACACACACAAACACACCCTCACACACACACACACACACACACACACACACAGAGAGAGAGAGAGAGAGAGAGAGAGAGAAAGTTATGTTCGTCTTTCATTTAAATGTACATGTATAAGGAATAAGGATAAATTAAAAAAAAAAAACAAACAAGAGTTTTATGTTGCTACACAGTGACAGTGCACACACAGCTATGGAAGAACATTACCTAAGTGAAAATTGTAGTAACTTGTAATTAACTGTAATTTTTGTTGGTGTTTCTGCGTTTTTGTTCACATCCATATTCTATTTAATGTATTTTGTTTTTAAAAAAAAGACGAAAACCTGCTAAAGAAAGCAGTGTGCTCATTTGTAATAACGATATAGGAGTTTTGCAACTTGGTTGGGACTTCCAACTTACTTCGACATATCCATGGTTTTCGAAACATCGATGTTTGAGAGACCAAAGATCACCTTTAGATATTTCGTTTTGTTTTGGAATGGACTGTCTACTTCATTGTTTTTGTTTCAATTTAAGTTTATTGATACATTTACACGATAGCTTATGTAAAGGGTTTCAATACTTATAATTCCATAAAGAATATTCAAGAAAGTGTGTATTAACCAATAATAAACATTTATTGACTGGGTTCGAGGGCAACATGCGTTTTGTCGGACCTAAGAAACAGTTTTGTTCGAGGGGTCGACTTGCCCGAGAACAAAGTCAATAAATGTTTTGTTATACCTTTTATTTATTTACTTTATTATCATTTTTTTGACATACATGTATGTCGAACACCATGCAACGAATGCAAATGAGATTTAGCTGACCCCGCCCATTGTGTGACGTAAGGGGTCCAACATCTCATCGACAGGTCCAGTATCTCACTTCGCGATCAAACATCGATTTTTTTTATGCCCACTCAGTAAAACATTGGAAATGTAAGACTTTTATTTGTATTGATTTATATAGGAACCAATTTTTAAAGGTATAACAAAATCTATTGTTATACCTTAAAAATTGTTTCCTATTATACATCTATTGACTGGGTTCGAGGGCAACATGCGTTTTATCAGACCCAAGAATCAAACTGTTTGCCTGAGGCTGTTAGACCAAAGGCAAACAGTTTGGTTCGAGGGCTTGACAAAACGCATTTTGCACAAGAACACAGTCGATAAATGTTTTGTTATACCTTTTATTTTATGGTAATCATCATGTACCTTGTGCTGGCTTCCATGATGTAAATTTCCTTTACTTGCACTAATACACGGTCAATTCTGTCACTGTCAAACACCAAAGAATACATAAAAGATTTAGTAATCCCGCCCACAGTGTGACGTAAGCGGTCCAATGTCCCATCGACAGGTCCAGTATCTCACTCTACGGTCCAACATCGATTTTCTTATGACCTCTTAGTAAGACATTGGAAATGTTAGATTTTTTAAAGTAAAGATTTATATACGAACCAATATTCATAGGTATAATAAATAAATTTATACTTTAAAAAGTATAACATTTCCATTGTTTTACTGAACGGTCAAAATAAAGCTATGTTGGACTGTTGAGTGAGATATTGGACTGCTATGACGTTTTTTAACGTCACACCGTAGGCGGAGTCAGCTTTACTCGTCGGTGTTCAACAGTTACGGAACTGACCGACTTCAATCCGCAGTGTGGGTAAACGAAATTTACATCAGTTATAGCAAATTTGGGAGCCAGCGCAAGAATTGTCAAAATAAAAGTAAAAGGTATAACAAAACATTTATTCACAGTGTTCTCGGTCAAAATGTGTTTTGTCGACCCCTCGAACAAAACTGTTTGCCTTCAATCTGAGGCAAACTGTTTGGTTCTTGTGTCCGACAAAACGCATTTTGCAATCTACCCAGTCAAATAACTGTATAATTTAGTTCATTCATCAAATATTTTAGAGAAATCACACAGTTTATAGTTCACAAAGCCAAATTTGAATCATTTGTAATTTGACTTTATATTCATGACCACCAAAAACCAAAATCAGTGAATCCTATTTCTTAAGTGTTGTCCGATATGTTACGAAAAGGACCCCCCCTTATCTATCTCTTTGAAATTAAAAAGAAAATACTTCATTATACAAAGTTATTCTTCGTCCTTTATCGTATGTTCAAGATTTCTCCAAAAAGTTCCTATACTTCCAAAATGTTCTTCATCCGGGTATTCTAGGTACGATTTACTTTCAATAACGTGAAGGAGAGACAATGGCATTTCTCGAACGATGTGGTTTTCCAATAAAACTAACAATAGAATGTTGTCTCCCCCTCGGGAATAGATGCTCTCCATTCGTGCCATATTTAACTCGAACATACACCAATATGATTTCAAGAAATGTGACGTTATTACACATACTGTTCGTCTGCTGTTGTGGATAGCGTTTGTAATGTTTTCAGCGATATCTTTTCCAGGAATGAAATCACGGTCATGGATGCAGAACCTCAGTCCGCCGCTCTCCATTTTTTTAAACTGTTTAAAAACAAATCTTCTGTCATGTTCTGAATATGAGATGAAGGCATCGTATTCGTAGAAAACTTTTCTCTGTGATCGTTTAACCTCTGGAAAAAGAGATTGCTTTGTTAAATAGTAGATATAGAAGACTGTCCATCGATATCGATAAATGATTCGATACATTGTTACGCTTAACAAGAGGAAAATGAATGAAGATGTCCCAATTATAAGTAAGGTGTATGAAGAACAATTCTTTTGTAATTTTTGCACTATATCGGACAAATCGCGAAGTGAAAACCGAGAACCATCCGTATAAGAACATGTTATGTTTTGTAAATGCACAAATCTAGATCGATGCTGTCTATTCATCCATTCAAGAAAGAACTGACTGGCACAAGAACACACCAAAGGATTTCCTAATAGATTGATTGTAAAATTGTTATATTGGGGTAATAAATTAAGAGCTGTTTCGTCCAATTCAGTCGAGAGATTGTAGGATAGGTCAAGATGTTGAAGTAGAAACATATGACGTATGTCTACCCTCCATTTTTCTATTCTATTGTATGAGATATTCAGGAGCTGTATTCTTGAGTTATTTTTAAGAAGTTTTTCTGGTAATATGTGTATTTTATTATCGTGTAAATTCAAAACGCTTAAGTTTCTATTATTGCCGAATATCTCACCGTTTATGTCCTTTTCCAACGTGAAACCGAGATCATTTTGCGAAACGTTCAAAATTTCTATCTTTGGTGAAAATTTCAACACTTGGGCTGAAATGAATGTGCAAAAGTTGTTCGAAAAATCTACATATCTGACATCATCGCACCCAAATATTGGACCATGAATTTGAACAAAAAAATTGTTTTGAAAATGTACAAACTCCAGATTACAGTCACTGAAATGCACTTCTCCAACTCGAATGTGTAACTTCATATTGTTTGCATAGAATCTTTTTAGGTTTTTTGGCAAATAAAATGTTATGTTTGAAGACCCTTGCTGTTGACCCGTGTTCAGGAGAGCAACTTCTGGACCGATATGACACGAATATGAGTAATCATTGCAACCATCAAAATAGTTTGTATGAGAATATATTTGAAAACTAACATTCAAAATCACCAGATTATACAAAGAGTTCACCTGTAACACATACATGCCATCATCCATTTTGTTGTCTCCGACAGACAAATGCTTCAGTGTTTTGGGTAAATTTGGTAATACTCCTATCTCCATGATTTCTAACCTGTTGCTGTCTAGGTATAATTCTTCGAGTGATGTATTGTGAAGATATTTCGTATGGTTAAGCAGCAGGATAAAATAAAATAAAATAAAAGGTCCAAAAGTGCAGTGTATTTTGGCAAGTCTAAAGACTTTGATGGCACTATTCTGAAGGTCGTAAGAGATATTTGCAAGCCCTCTGAAACCAAGCCGTTGGTTATACGAAACATCTAAATATTGCAAGTATGTTTGAGCATTCAGAGCCCCAATTTCGATAGATCTAATGTCACAAAAAGATAAATCCAGATATGTTAAATTGAATTTATCCAATACATGCCACCTCAAGTGAGAAATTTTACACACACAGTTGTAGCCAGATGCATCCAGGAATTTCAAACTCTCAATTTTATCTTCTAAAAATATGTCCCCAAAGTTTCCATCTTGAACTCCATCAATTCTGAGATGTGATAATGAATCTAATCCAACAAGTAAGTTATTTGGATATTTGGAGTACAGGTTATCAGTATTGCCTTTGATAGACAGGGATTCTAAATTTGACATGTTGGAAATCACTGAGAAGAAACTAAGGTTGGTAATTGCATTGTGGTCTAAATTGAGGTATTTCAGTCGTCTATAAATCGTATATAACATTGGCGAATCACCTGAAATTCTATTGTATGATAAGTCAAGATATTCCAAAGCCGTTGGTAAATGAACTGGAAATTTCTCCAAGTAATTGTTACTCAGATTTATGTGTGTTATGTTTGAAGAACTACTAAAACAAGGAGGATGTTGAAGATTCAGTGATGAACAATCAATGGTGTCCCCAAACGTGTAAAAACAATTGGCGTTCGGTATGCAGTCTGGTTCCGCGTGAGTACAAGTTATCGTCAAGAAAAGTACTAATATGTAATCACCAAAAGCCATGATGTCTCCCTAAAAATACACGGAACATGAAAATTATGATTTGACATTATATCTGGAGGTTGCTAGTATTTCTAGAGGGACACTTTAAACTTTATAACAGATAACGGATGTGACATTGGATTAGGTTCATCGAAATTAATTTACCTTTTGTAAATTAACGTATGTCAAAATTGTGGGGGGTTTTTTACAGGGAAAAAGTGCCTTAAATTGCCAAATATTTGTGGTGACCAAAGATCTTTGACCAATATTTTAAGCTTCAGACATCCAAAGTGAACAGAGATGATTTAAAGTACATTAATATAGATACCTACTTCAATGTTTCGGAGATGTTATTAAAACACGTGTTTCTTTATGACATACCTCATAGTCATTGATGCAGTTTTTTAAGTAAGACTACTCAAAAATGGTAAAAACGAAACATTGATAACATACCACTACCTTGTCCTCCTCGTACTAGTAATTTCGATTTTGTTTTGCCAAAAATAATTTTTAACTCTTGGTTGAAAGTTTTCTGGGGTTTTTTTTGTCTTTGTACGGACGATGACTAATAGAATATACTCAGTATAAATTCCTACCGATATTTTGCATAAGAAATAAACTAGTACCTGAGGGAAATTATCATTCATAGAACTATATATACTGTATATATTTTTAAAAAGAAGTGAGGAGTGTTGACCAGCCAGTAAACTTTGGAATGTCAAAAACAGGATAAACAAAACAACTACATGTATTTTTGTAAAAATTTTACCATACACTTTTTCACAGATTTTTTTTCACGACGGAATTTTTATCAGTTTGTAAAATTAAATTATACACATATGTTTTTCAAATTAAACATTGAAACTGAGAAAGATATTCCCTTAACACAAACAGCTTTAAAATATGGATTTTAACATCAAATATAATGCAATACCTGCAATTTTCAGCAGTTCAGTGAGTTAATGGTGAAAATCCAGCTGTTTAATGTGCCAAAAATTACATCCAGATATGTACCTCAGAAAATGAATTATGATTCTTTTGAATGTTGCGGCTTCCGCGAGAAAGTGATTATACATGTATATTTATGGGTTAGGCTTGATCCTCTCAAAAAGGCCGAAGTCTCTTTTAATTACATCCTTGGAAATACATTTTGCTGATACAACCACGGTGGGAAATTTAAATGCAATTTCATATGCAAAACATCTAACTTCCCTTTCCCTCTTTCGCCAATTTATCATATGCATATTTGCACAAGATGTAATTTCTCTGTACAATTCCTTAACTACTTAACTGACAAGTAGTAACACTGCACTCAGACGGCACTAAAATGAGAAAACAAACGCTCTATTTTTTTTTCTGTGTATTTGTATAACAGAAATGATTAATAGATAGTCAAACTTTTCATTGGCGGGTTTAAGGGTCCAGCGTCACAAAGTGGAGAAGTCCGACGCAATAAAAACCTGTGGATAAATTCCTTTGATCTCATATTATGGATATGATTTTATATGTGGAAAGAAGAGTCTTTGGCGCTGTATAATTTTCAGATGGATTCGGAAATTCAAAAGTAAAAAAGGAGAGTTAAAATATAATGGCCAAACTGGTCGATTGAAATCTGTAGGAAAACCAAAAAAATATCGATGCTGTGTGCAACATGATATCTGAAAATGCCAAATTTACACTGAAGGACATTGCTAAAACACTAGACATTTCATAATCACAACATTTTATAGAATTCCGACAAAGGAAATGAAAATAATAATATTTCTATCAGATAGGTGCCTTATTTTCTTACAAATGCCTAAGAGAAAACACGCGTCAAATGTGCCAACGATTTATTTAAAAACAAATATTTTAACAAAATGGAGGATTTGATAAACTTCCCTGATAAATGACGAAACATGGGTGCACTTTCTATAGCCAGAAAAGAAGAGCAATAAAATAAATGTGGAATCAAAGAAAAAACTGTCGTCTTATTTTTATAAACGTGTTTTTCTAGTTTTCATTTTTCTTAAAGAGGTCCAGTAAAACATCTTAATACACCAAATGCAGGACAATCAATAATAACTTTTATGTTCAAATTGCACTATTAAGAAATAAACAACAATGTTAAAAAGTTCTCTGGGAAATGAACTTGGTTGGTCACGTGATCAAATCCTGTGAAGCCCGAAGGGCTTCTCAGAAGATTTGATCACGTACCAACCAAGTTCATTTCCCAGTGAACTTTTTAACATTGTTGTTTATTACTTTTATTTACATTTGAGACGAAAATTCTGAAAAGAATTGCATTTATTACACGAACGGCCCGCCGTATTGCTATGTTGTGACGCGCAATGACCTAGAAGCTGTTTGGTCGTGAGAGTTCGCCTCGCTCCAAGATTTGAATACTTACATTGATGTTCAGCAGTCCAGTTCAGGAAATATCTGTTCATAATGAAGAAAAACCATGATCACTACTGAGAATAATCTTACTTTTATTGTTTGAGTTCTACATATATGAAATCAAAAGCGGTGGCATCGTCTTCAGTATACATACCTTCAAAGGAATTTCGGGTTAAAAAGGTAAGCGTGATTTTAGGCTAATTAAGCACATTCTTCACTCCGAAGAAAGAACTAATGATCATTTGTTGAACGAAAAAAACATATATGTTTCAATAATTTTATCTTTTTCATCGCTTTAACGGCTTAGAAGTTCCGAAACCAGTGTCACCGTGACAGAAATAGGTAGACAAGATATCATCTCGCTGTGTGATTCGGTCACGCCATGACCTCTGACCCCCTAATAAGTTCATACAGAATTGAACATATTTTCTTTTCAATAGGTTCATCTAAGAAAAATATTTGCAAATGTAAATAAAGGAAATTGAACAGATTTCCTGCAAAGGAAGTCCAAATACCGGTCCCCAGGGTAAGTTTCCTGTAGGGGTGAAACGATACATCTCCTTCACGGTTCGATACGTATTGTATAATTATGTCTCGGTTCGGTTATTTTCGATACGATACATTTTGATAGAAGGAAACAAATTCAACGTTGTTTTATGCTTTCTTTTTCTAAATCTAGTCACATATTTTACGAATTTTATTTGCAAATTGACTAGAAGAAATTGATTAAAATTATTTGACTGTAAAAAATTATTTTACAAGCTATCAGTCATCAAAAATTTACGTTTTCTATACTTATTTATACTGAGTAAAGTGTTTTGCCTTATGCCAAACCCGACTGAATAACGATCCCGATCGAAAATGAACCGAACCGAAAATTAGAGATTTTGCACCGTGTATCAAACCGAGAAAAAATACCGCGGTGAATCGATACCGCGGTGAACCGTTTCACTCCTAGTTTCCTGTACCTGACAACGCTGCTGCAAATAAGCATAAAGAAATAAATGAAATTTCGAGGAAAAGAAAATTACAGAGTTTTGCCATCCCCCATATTCACTAGATCACAGCCATTGTGAGATCTTTTTATTTCAAAACTTAAGCCTGAAAACAATCAAAGGAAGATTTTACAATGTCAGATATGTCATGGGAAGTGATATTCATCAATGTCTTCGGGGCATTCCTAAAGAGGAGTATGCTGGAGCTTCCTGCTCATGGGTACAAAGAGCTGTGTAAAGGGTAACATGGAATACTTTGAGGGATTGAAAATAGTAAGAGTATGTATTACCTACTTATCGTATTCTTAGATGACCTTTTGCATTATTTATTGAACTACCCTCGTTTAACAGTTTTGTTTACACGAAGCACAATATATGACTACTCCATTGTAAATAAGTCTTAAAAACGCTTCATGGTGAAGGTATTTTGCCTGTTATCTTTCTCCAATCAGACATTAAAATAAATTTTACAACTCTTAAATCTTAACGAGCGAATTCAGGAAATTGTGGTCTCCCGCTTTCGGGGTCTCACTCTTTAAGGAGGCTGGGGGGTCAACAAATTAACCACCAGATTTAACTTAATTTTTTAGATATGATATCTTAAGCTGTCAACTATCATTTGGCAAAGAAAAATTTCAAAAATTTTAGTTTTAAAATTTGATCATTTTCTATATCTTCATATGGAGCTCTTCTTCTAAAGGAGATCAATATAGTCTAAAAATGGCCACAACCCCCCAGCCTCTTTAAGGTCAAGATCATGATGTCAAAAATCATAAGGCATTCGGAGAGGTCTTGTCTCTTGTAATCCACTTATCAAATATGAAAGCCCTATCTCATCTCGTTAAAAAATTAAGACCATGGTTAACGTTTTTGTGAAAAATGTATCATATACTTTTTCTACTTCGATGTTTTCTTTGGACTCTTTCTTGTGGAAATACTTTAAAATGCTAAGTATATTTCTGCGGCCGATTTGATGCTTTGCATCAATTAAGCTTGTTTCACATTATGATATACGATCAGGAAGTGACCTATGCATACTGTTTTAATATACATGTTCCTTGTAATGCATGAAGGTGTTTAAAATGTCATGAAAATTATTTTTTAAAAAAGTTAATGCAACACTGCATCAAGTGAAAACATCGGTGGCCATGTACTTGTAAAATGTACATATATATTGAACTTCCTGCATCGCGACGTCGATCATACTGATTCAACGTGAGATTTTGAGAACCACACTTAACGATGCCCGTAAAATGCATTTTTTTAAAATTTTACTCGCATAGTAATTATCGTAAATCAATATGCCATGCCATAAATCAATGGTTAAGTCTACTTACATTTTCGATAAACAGTCGTGAAATAGCAAAAAAGAGAGTACGTACGATGGTGGTTACGGTTGGCGGATCTACGTTACTGACAATTTTAAACGAAACTGCTAACGAACAATCGTTTAATTATTTCATATAACGTCATCACTGAATTATTCAATCAAAACTTGATAAAAGAAATAAGTTGTGATAAAAAGTAAAATGTTCATTCACTATGGAATTCCATATACGACAGCCAACTGCTTACTGCCAACTGCTCACTGCTTACTGTCAACTGCCACTGCGCATAGATGATATTGCCTATTTTACTATCTTTAATATCTTTAATACGCATGCTTAATTGAATAAACCCTATGATAGATCACAATAATAATGAAAATTGGCGGATTCGGGAATTTTTAAACAGTGATGGCAGGAAGGAATAAATAGGAGGAAAGAATATTATCTCTTAAATACAATACATCTAACCCCCATTTCCTTGCAGGCAAATAATTCAATAGATTTTTTGACCGGGGGGGGGGGGGGGGGTATTAAAGGCTTACCGTATAAAGGTCAGAAAAAAATGGGGGGCTTTTAGTAGGATCTTGGGTTAAATTTGTTGGTATATACATTTATATCAGAAATACTAGTTAAAAAAATCATAAAGGCCTTTTACTTTACTCTATGTAAAAAGCAATTTCAGGGTAGAAGGGGGGGGGGGGGCACAACCCAACATAATTCCCTTGACAATTAATAAAAAAAAGTCACAGGCGTCTTTATTAAAGGTAGAACTACTATATATAGTATATGTTGGAAATTTAGTGGTTACGCCTCCACCACCACCACGAATGTTTTTACAGATCTAACATTAGCCATTAAAATGATTTACATAAGACACATATAAAAAATTCCCACACATAGGTACTTTTCCTAGGGTAAAAAGAAACACCAACAGATATTACAAGATATTTAAACTCGGCAAAAGTTATTTGTTATTATAACTTTCAGTCATATTTCTAGTATAAATACATATACCAACAAATGTTACTCAAGACTACGAAAACCCATTGAGCTCATTTTCGTAGGTAAAAAAAAATATATTGTTCGCGTTATAACGCGAAACTTTCGCGAATAAACGCGTAACTCTCCCTGTAAAACAGAGACATTTTCATAAGTTCCCATTTTCTTTTACTTTAATGATCTAGTTTATTCGTTACAATGAAAAACGAAAGACTATTTTGAACTTGGATTATCACAAGCTAAAATTTTGTTTTTCACGCCATTGAATGTGTCTTTCCTCTTTCTAAATCTTTTTTGTCGTCACATTTTGT